ATTGTGTAATATAGGGTGAACATATATGTAATAAATGACATATTTATGGTTAACTTCTGTCACAAACTTTTACGCAACTCCTAAATCAAAATATATCATATTTTATCTAAAATACTCTCTCTCGATGTTAATAGCAAACGTTACCTACGTAATATCGTTTAGATAACATTAATGCGGATAATTGCATGTGCTATACGAAAAGGATTTTATTCCTAACCATCCGGAAAATTTTTACGACTGAGCAATTTAACTGGAACATTAAGATTATCTCTCTTATCTAAGCCCCGCAAAATTGGGTAACCCAAATAGTCATTTTTCAGACGGATTTCCCGCGAATCATAGATCTTGCGATTTACCGAAGATATACGAAGTATAAACAAGCTATTTTTCTTCAACTCAGAGAATCCGTGGAATTCTTTTAATTCCATCCTCGACAATTCCCATAGCATGTATTGACTGAGGAAAAGAGAAAAAAAGATAGTCAATGGCAATAATTATTGTATATCGAATCGCCGACGCGAATATAATAAATTTTCACTATCCGTTAGTATACATGGATATTCAACTCGTTAAAATACATCTCACGTTTCATAAAAAAAATGGAGTGATAGCTTTATTAGTATGAGTGCTTCAACGTGATACTAACGATGTGACCAGTGCAACCCAGTTTGCAAATGTGCGAAAACATCGAAACAGCCGATGAAAGTTTGACAATAAATTAAACACTACTGCATGTACTATTACATGTACTAGATCCAAATTAAACGCTCTGTTTTAATCTCTAATTTATTTTTGCTCTCTTCAATTCTTGTACATACTCGTTAAATAGATTTTTATAAAATTATTTTTTCCCATTGATCAAATAATATCTATTCGTGTCTAACGAAATAAAGTCTATGAGTGTTTTGTGCCATTAAAGAGTTCTGAGTTAATAAAATAGAGGCGTATTAAAAAGCTGCGGCATAAATGATAAACTACATAATTAGAAATCTACATTACTAATTTTCCACACGAGGCTTTTCCTTCATATTCTAAGATTAAAATCGAATTACGTTCCTCCTCAAAGTAATTTCAACATCAAAGCTACGCTACTTGCGTTTTGCCGTGAGCGATAGAAAATAAAAGATGCAAAAAACATCGGGATAAAGCGCGGTTTTACAATTTTCTGGAAATGTATCGCGTTACATTCGCGATTAATTTATAAATTTAATGTATTAAATATAGTCTGCAACTCCTTTATGGATGAAGAACTAAAATCGTGTTTATTTCCTTTATATAACTTCACAATTCCGGGCTATTCCGAATAAATGTCACGTGTAGATACGCACGGTTGCGCTGTAACTTTTTCTCGCCTCTTTTAGTTTTAATTGCGCCGGAAAATTTTTTCGACCACTTGCACATTAAGCGTAAATTATCTCACTGGAAATATCGTGAAAAACTTTCAAGATTGATTATGATGCATTATAGATATAAATTTAGGAAACAGTTGCAAGAAATAAAATGGATCGAGCAAAGCACATTTTATTTCTTTGAAGTAAATGTTTCAGAAAATATTTCTTAAATAGTAACAAAATAGTTCTTTAAAATAATAACGATTTATTAGAATATTTACTAATGTTAAAGTTTTACGAAGTTAAAGTTTTTATAAAAATCCTAATAAAAAATACATCGCGATATAAAATTATTTTGCAAGAAACAATTGTACTCTTTTTAAAGTTCTGTCCGTGGAAAGTTAGAAACAGAGTTCAATTTAGCGTGTTATATATTGCCCGCAACTTTCTCTTACAAGAAACTAAAATCCTCGAGTGATAACCGGCGATTTTGCTCAATATGTGCTTTCATGTTTTCGCAGATTTTTGCGAGATGCGATGAATTTTCAGTTACAAAGACCACCGCTTGAGCCTTCGGATAAAAAAAGATCCATTTGTGAAATTGTCTTTTGCTCTCTCGACGCTCACACTGTGTATATCGAAGCGAAATTATATATTCCCGGAGAGAAACGAAATATATCGCGACAGGAGTGGTCCATATCCCATGTGATACTCGAGCTTTTACCGAGATATAGAAGATACAATTTTCGTGGATGCTTGCCATGATAAAATAAGCGAGCATACGGGATTTTCATTTTCCATGCATTGGATTTTCACATGCTCGAATATTTCTTCAATTTCATGAATCTGTCGCGAGTCTTCTTCGTCAATTTTGAGAATGAATGTATAAGAATGTTAAGATATATTCTTTTTTTTGTATTTCAAAAAATCTTTTATTAATCATTTTCTACTAATGCGATTTTATTTCTTATGATACAACACAAATACAGTTAGCGAGAGAATAAAAATATTATATTCTCAATATTTATCATTTATCACCCATTAATCGCTTACTGCAAATGGTCCATTTTGTTGATTGCTCATGCTCATGGACGCGTATCGTGCATATTATGTATCTGGCATGTGTGTGTATTCCCATAGTATTCAAGCTGCTCCATAGAGATGTGACATAATTCTGCGTCATACTGCATGCTTACGGTAAATATCATAGCGCGGCAAACGAGTCATGACTGTCTCTTTCCTTCTCCATTTCATTAATTCTCTAGTGACCTATGGAAATGATATTTGATTACAAATTTTTCTATTTTTTTTTCATTTCGCGTGATATTACTGTGTTAAGAAAGCTTAAACGTTCTTACAACCTTTTAATTTAGAGCAATATTTGTAATCAATTTTTCTGCGTTGTTCTGAAAACTTCTCTATTGCACTGGCAAAAGTTTAATTAAGCTTTAAGCTTTAGTTTAATTAAGCTTTAATTTAATTAAGCTTTAATTTCAGTTCCACCTTTTAATCAGTTTTGTCTATCATAGAAGGAAATCTCACATAAATATATCATTTATTCTTATTTGATCAAATTTATTACGAAAATTGGAATTAGATTTAACTTTTGGTATAATTCAACATTTAATCTTTATGACTATCGAAGAAAATTTTTGAAATAAATGATAAAGAAATAAATGATTATAAATACATAAATTATTTTAACTTGGTTGGCTAATAATTTCACAACGTAAATTAAATTTAAATTTAGCTTTCAATTTATTATGCCATTTAGCTCTGAAATGTAGCAAGGCGTGTTCGTTAAGTCAATACGCACATTGCTGACATTGTAATCAATCTTTTGACATACAAATGAGCTGTAGAAACCTTAATCAAGTAATTACGTCTCGAACAAATGGTTATACGAGAATACAAAAATATTAATAAATTTTAGACACTTGTATATAATTAATATGAGAAGATATAATAACCAATTTTATGCAAATCATTGAGAATCTTTTAGATAATGAAGACTAACAAATGTAATCTATACTTTTAAAAAATATGCGCATTACTTATGATAATATTGCAATATTGCTTACGTCGCGAAAAATATATTTATCAAAAAAAAAAAGACAATACAAGTTATTTCTGGCGAAAATCGAAATTGAAAAATGTTCACCTGAAATTGACAGATCTCTTTTGCCTTCCATTTTGCCACGCTTCCTGAAAAAGACGACTGCATCTCTAGCGATTCAAAGATGCAGGCGGATTGATGCGGGGTCACGTAACCCGAATAAGCTTATTGCGTCTTCATGAATGCACCGAATGTTAAGAGCTCTTTAGAAGAACGATTTAAACGCAATGTAGAAAAATGCGCAATATTAAGAGAATCGTGATAAAGAGTTTAATTTTTTTCGCGAGAGAATTTTAATTCTATGAGAGAAATTTTGTTTTAATAAATTTTGAGAAATATTTTTACTATATATTTTTTCTAAAAACTTGTGAAAAATAAAATTTGAAACATTTTAACAGTATTATAGATAAGGATAATTGACCTAAAGATTTTTTTAAGCCTTTAATGCGCTTAGAAATTTTTGAAATAATTGATTATAAATATATCAATTATTTTACCTTGGATAATAATTTCATTCTAAATCGTTTATGCCATGTATAACTATTAATTTTCGCTTCATCGCGATATCGTTGATATATTACGTATCTCCCACACGTTGCTAATCCTGTCATATGTCTGATGTGTGTCTGATGGATGCTAACGTTCGCCGGCAATTACCGATAACAAGAGGCAAATATATGATAATGAATTATGCGCTAGGGCAGGAATTGTATATTTGCATAAGACATATTATACATAGCAAAATTATATATGTAGAATTATGTGTAATAAGATTGACGCTTGCGAAAGCTTTCCGGAATTTTTGATGAATAATATAAAAAAAGGACTTGATAATGAGATGCCAGAACTTTTTTCGAAACTAATCAATAACTTGTTGCGTGGCTACAATTTACAGAAATAATAAAAAGAATTAACTTGATAGAAATTACTTAGATTATACTATAATTGAATAAGAATTAATGCAGCAATTAATCATTTAACAAATCTAATTACTATCGTCATCGCTTCCTTCTGAAATACCGCGAAAACTGTGCAATAATATCTTCTTGATAGCATTAAAAAAGTATCGTCATTTCATAAAAAAAACAAGTGCAAACACGTACTATGGCTACGTCGTGTCGCGCTCTAAGAGTGCGTTCCAGTGGAAACAGGCGAGTCAAGTCAGACCGTGCGAGAATCGACGCAACTCGATCGCCGGCGGGGCAATTAAAAATTTGTGCTACATTTGTGCGTGAACTGGGACTATATGTGGGTCTAAGGAGAGTCAAGCAGAGTGGCGTTTAACCACGCGGCGTGTGAGAGCTAACGGAACAGCTGAGCGCGTACTGGATGACAGATATCGACCGCGCGCGGCCACAAAGCGTTACTCGCGCGAATGCTCTTTGACGCGAGAAGCAAAAGAGAAGTTTTAATTTCTGGGCGCGAGTCCCTGCTGTTAATACGTGAAGGCGTGTGTTACCGCTTCGCTCTCCTTCGCTTCCTTTTGCCCTCAATAATCGTGCATTGTGCATTGCTGCGAGTGCTTAATTCGCTCATATTCCGCTTCCACTTACCGGCGGCCATTTCTTTCGTCTCTTCTGCTTTCTTCTCGCCCGGCGATTTTCTTCGCCTTCTTTGCAGCAGCTTCCTCTCTCCCTTTCTCTTCCCGATTCGCTCTTACTCTTCGCCGAGCACTTTTGTGTCTAGTTGGCCGGCCGATGATCCTGGGCGACACTTGATGACGCGTAAAATGCTTTTTCTTGATCCGTTGTCCTTTCGTGCGAGAAATGCGTCATCTTTTCCACCCAGTGTCGCTCTTAAGGACGCGTTTCTGTGTCGGGTGTCTCGTTTTCCGATCATCGATATCGTTTCGTTAATCATCGATGCCTCGTTAAACTACGATGGTGATTTTTTTCTGCTGAGCGCGTCGCTTCTCTCAGGAGAACGTGACGAATCGTCTAAATGTATCGGAAGTAAATGCAATCTGCAGATAAAGAGTTTGTAACTAATGACACTTTGTACATATCTAGTTTAATATTCGTATTCTCCTCCGTTATGCATAAATGTAAGTTTGATGAAAAAAATATGGTTGCACAATCTATTTTATTATTTTAATATAATGGAGAAGACTCGTTATGGTTTTTAAATATCGGAGTTTAAGTAACAATTGAGCTCGTCTATATTTATGCCTACTTTTGCATAAGCTTATAACGAAAAGAGGTAAAGATATTCCGAGGCACGCGCGCGCGATTCGAGAGATGATGCGGCATCCGACGTGTCGCGGAAAAGGAGAGGCCACTAGCTGGTGTGTCAGAAATATCGTCGCAATGAACGCATCCGGCAGCGTGAAATCTCGTGAAATTCTGGGGCGAGATTCCGGGTTAATGAAGGTGTGTAACGCGGCATGAAATTATTTCTGTGCGAGTTGTTAATCGAATCAAACCGTCGGCACGAAGCCGCGGGCGTTTTTCAATTTCGAGATTAGCTCTTAGCGGACCAGAAATGGGTTTTGAACGATGAATCATACGAGATTATTTCGAAATACCGGCGATATTTTTTATTCTCTTAGTCAAACGTTATTCTGAACAAATACATTTTTTCTTTTATTCATATAAATTATACCTCTATATAAAATAATCATATAATTTATATCGCTCACCTAGTATTATTAATTCGTAGAATAATTTTTTTTAGAAAAATATTATATATATTTGTTTCAGAGATAATAATAGTACGAAAGCATTAAAGTTCCTGCGATATTCGTTGCAATATTGTGCTTAATGATTTTTGTAGCGAGGAACTTTCATGGGATAAAATAATGGATGGGACGTCGGATTATTCGTTTTACGAGATTGTTGATAATAGAATGATTTATTATTTGAATTTACTCATATTTATGATGTTTTCTCAAGTTCTTGCATGTAATTAATCTTGGTGGATGTAAATCAAAAAGTTTGTTTGGTTGGATGTCTGTAGGACAATTGTTGAAAATTGTAAGAGATGCTACATAAAACGGATGTACAATATATATATATGTTTTCTCTTATAATTAATCGTAAGAAAATACATATGCTCAAAATATGTGCAAGATACCAGATATCCTTATTCCAATAAAATAACGCGAATGAATTGAATAATATTTGCGATCAAATGTGCAAAATCGTAATTTTGATTATCGCAAATATGTTAAATCTAGCGACTACGATCAAATATATTTAATCTTAAAATGCAAACATTTGCTTGACCGCAATAATCACTCGCGAGAAATTGAAGATTTAATTAACAGATAATTGAAGATCAAAGGTTCTTAATTATTTCTGTTTTCCAAGGAAGAGACGGAAATGTGAATTATTTGCATTGGAAATCGAAACACGTACGTATTCCTCGTTTGGAATATTTTAAAGGTTTATCCCTTTAGACTCGTAGAGTCTCTTTGAGAAGGATCTGTATAAAGCTGCAGATAATGTTGACTTTATGTATCTTTGTAAGATCTTTTTGTTAATAATAAATTATTTCTTGTAATGATATACATGCACTGAGAAAAATGAGAGAAATGTCCGATGAAAAGGTAACGAACGGATATTATACCGATCGCTTTAATCGGATATCTGATTGGAAAATTTCGAATTTTAAATTTTCTGATCCGATATCTGATCAGATATCCGATCGATCGATATTTTCTGATTGGATATCTGATCTTTTTTTTCCGATTAAAGTGATCGGTATAATATTCGTTCGTTATCATTTCACCGGTTTTTTTCTCAGTGTGTACAATTCTATGCTGTTTTTATATTATATTATATAAAACAGACGCGCATTGTCAACGATTTAGGAATATTAATAAATTTTAATAAATCAAAGAAATATAACGAAATTTATGGACGAAGAAATTTACTTGATAATATTGTATTTTTTTATCATTATATTGATGACTACTAAATTAATGAATTGTTTTTATTAAAATTATGTAAGCAAGCGCTTTCCAAAATTTTAATTATTACATTTTCTGTTAAATCAAGCATTCACAAATTTGCGAACGTCATTGTATGCATGCAAATAGTGAAAATTTATCATGGAAAGGTTTGGCAAGTTTAGCAGTTTTAATGTAATACACAAGTACATTCACGTTTTCCCGGAAACTGCATTTCAGTGCTAATGTTGTGAATATGTAAATGTTATTGCGCGTGGCTTCACAACGAGGAATATTCCATAAAAAAAAACAAATTTCGTGATATTGTATGCGAGATCTTACCGCTATTAAATATGTATACCGAACAGAATCGGTGCTGACTATCGTAAAAAATTATATCATCCCAGAATTACTTTCGAAGAAATTTTGAAATCCAATCTTGCTTATGAAGTGAATTTAAACGTTTTTTATATATTTTTAATTATCACAATTTAATGAGATATTTATTTGTATAACTACTTGATAGTAAATATTTCAAAATAATTATAATTCTTTTAATCTACACATTTCTTAAGATATCATAGAAGATAATTCTCGAATTACAAATGATTGAAAATTGAAAGATTTTTATTAATTAAATTTTAGATGTAATAAAAGTTTAGCCTTTGCTAAGTAATTGTAAAAATGAATTTTTTGGAAAATCTTATAAGTATTAACATTTAATCGCGATTATATTTAATACGATTTTTGTATTTACGTTGTTTTTAAATTTTAAATATATATATATAGATTCAGAATATAATTATATCGAAACAACTAGCCATTATATTGTAACGCATAATTGAAAATCATTTTCTAACTAAGTCTAATTAGTGATATGCATTACATGTATCGAATGTTTCATGTAAGAATCTAATGTCATGGAAATCATTCAAAATTTCCGATTTACACAACTATGGCATATTTAGCAACAATATGTAGTTTAATAGATTATTTTAACGCAAATCGTCTTATAAAATAAAATATTAAAAATATTTGATTAGAGTAGAAATAAAAGGAAATTTTTGCAACAATTTCTAAGTTTGCATTATTAGACAAATTTTATCATATGACGACAATTTGACTAATTAATATAATGATATTGAATCATTCTCAGATAGATGCTATGCTATTATAGTTGAAAGATGAAAAAAATACGGAGAGAAAAAAAGATAAAGAAAAAGAGAGAGAGAGAGAGAGAGAGAGAGAGAGAGAGAGAGAGAGAGAGAGAGAGAGAGAGAGAGAGAGAGAGAGAAGATTAACTGCTTTGTCTTTGTACACTTTATTTCCTATCGTGGCAAAAAATAGAGTTTGGAAACATTTTATATTTGTTCTTCAATATATTATTTTGCAACTATTGTATTCCCTACATAACCCAACGTAAGAGAATCATTATTTTAATATTTAAAAAAAATTTTATTTTCTGCGAACACAGAGACTGTCGCAAAATTTCTTTCGTCTCAAAGCCGTCCAACCTGTTTTTACGGCCGTGAATAAATATTGGAAAGTTTTCTTCTTCTTTATGATACACTTTTTTCGCATTAGAAAACTTTTGCGGAAATCAATCTATTCCTCGCGTATTTGTCACTTAATATTTTAACAACATATTGTTCAAGTTTTTATATAATGTTTGGAACTTTGTCGAAACTGATACAAAATGTTAAAGAATTGAAAGAGACGACAAACCTATTGCATCTTTTGTGTATTCAAAAAGTTGCTTGAGAGACATCAAGAGACGTTCTAAGAATATAAAGTTAAAATATAAATTTTCCTTTAATTCTCTCTTTAATGATGCTAAAATTTTTTATTATAAAAAAAATATATTAACTCTAAACGAGGATATATTACAAATTTACATGTTACAAAAAAATTACAATAGAGCCATCCCATTTTACGAACGAATCAATAACTTTCGCGCGCCGTCTCTGTGGAATTCTTTTCGATTTCGGCAAGTTTTCTTCTTCCTTCTGAATAAAAAAATCATATGAAAAACTTTGAAAACGCCTGGGTGACCCATTGTCTGCTATATCGACTTTTCATTCGGAGGGTTTTGCGGGATATGACCGGGATAGATCCCAGGGGATAGCTGGATAGCGACGAGCCGGTTTCATATCTCCGCCGATCTGACGTTGGAGGCACGGCTGCCATTCATTATTGTCGTTAATCGATTCATTCTCGATTCGTTAGCCATTCATCACAGTTGGCTTAACGTCGTCCTTTGTCGACGTGCGTTTATCGCAAATTATCATATCGGCAATATTATCGTTAACATTTTGCAACGTTAGCAGATCAGTATAAATATCAGCAGTGACAGCAGTTGTTTGTCTATGAATAATTTATTTTGCGATAAATAGTGACGACTATTTCTCATTGTTCTATATTTCAGAATCATTACTATATATCATACATGTTTTGTAATAATAAATGCGAATAGTCAGATCATTTATCTACTGAATGACATAAATTGACTTATATTGCTGGCCTTTAATACGACTGATTAATCTGCGTAATATCATCAAACTATAATTTTCTCTTCTTCCGTGTATTGCACTTACTCTAATGAAAAGAGAAAATGAGAATTATATTTATGACTGAGAATAATTAATCTAGAAAGATCTAAGATCGTAAAATTCCGCTCGTGCATTTTATGAGAAATACATCAGACAGAAGGTAAATTACGCGAGTTATTGTTAAAATATTAATTTTAATAAATTATGTTTTTAATTAAATTATATTTTATACCTTGAATGCGCGGATGCATGTCCGGCACGCGCACGTGACTTGAACTATCGGACAGATTGACAGGTATCGAATCTCCTCGAGTCAAGCGCTTCTTTGTAGTGCTTTCGGGTACCAACGAGTACTCGTATATACTTACACGTTTAACTATGACACAGCTGACAAGCGTATTTGTCCGTGCGTACCATTCACGTCTCACGCACTCGTTGGTGTTCCATCAATGCGAAAATGATTCTCATTTCCCGCGAACGCGACGCGATACGTACACGAGCTAATAGAATATTGATTTTGTCGTA